TTTTTGTTTGAGAAACAAATTTTCATTATACACAGTATCGTAATTTTCCTTACAGACGGTGACTTGACTTAAGGTATTTCCATGTAGCGTGTGAAAGGGAGGAAGAAAAGATGGTGATTATAGAATAAACTCCAGTTTATCCGCTCTTGAAAAGCAGGATCGCTACTTGGCCCAAGTAAAAATAGATAAAATGTCTTGTTTCGTGTGTCACATAGCTTCCAAAATTACGGCCTACAATGCAATGCCACGTTGGATTGTACTTTTTATCAAATTCTTTCTTAATATAGGCTGCAATGTCCTAAAACGAAAAGGCAGAGTTAATTTATAGTGCTCTGGACTTCCATTTATCTTCCTTGTTATCGCACAATTTGTTAAACAACTACTCTTTACATTTACAATTTACCATGTGTACCATTTCACATCATACACACAATGTCTGTAACAAAACATGTTTGATTTATCGATGCATACCTTTTCTATATTGTACTTTTCGAGGGCTTGAGTTGCACAGTCGACAGCATCCTGCTGCATCTCCTCAGACATATCAGCGTTCTTAATCACAGCCTTTCTGTCTGACATTCTGGTAGTTCTGGAACGTAGAGGAAAAAAAAAGGGAAAGAAAAGAGCTAGGTAGTGCATTATCTTTTTTTTTTTTTTGGGGGGGGGGGGGGGGAGACATTCAATGTGAAAAAACCATTGCTAAGACACTAAGGCTACACTACTTTTTTTTTTTTTTTCATTGAAGGACGAAAAGAAATATACATGTAGATTGAACCTGGAGGAGGAACGAATGCGCGCAATTTTGACAGTAGCGTATATGTCATTAGCCGGCATGACAATCCATCGGACGATCGTTAGAAAATTCGGAGGTGGATCGAGTGTGCTTAAGTGAGAGCGATGCGAAACAAATCGCGACTGGGATAAACAGCCCGTAGTGGCGAAACGCGGGAGGACGATGTTTTGTCGATACGGGCGACGAAACGGAAATAATAATTCGTTTACACGCGATCCATCGCAACCCAGAACGTGCTAACGACGGTTATTCGAAAATTAGCGTTGCACCGACCGGAACAACGGCTACAAGGAACTGGGATAGTTGACTTTTTGACATAAGAGTTGTCGTGTTCCCGGTCTAAAACGAAGAGGGACAGAAAGGGAGAGAGAAAGAGAGAGGAAGAAAAAAATACATTTTCCATTTGTTATAACGCATCGACATACCTTTTCGGATAACACGTTCACGAACTGATATCACACAAGAGAATGATCTTCCGTTTCCCGGACCCGGCAGTAATATGTACTTATTTTTTTTCTTCCCCCTGCGTGAACTGATTTACACAAAAATTTTGCTCGCTCAAACCGACACCGACTTTTCCTCGATTGAGTTCAAGACTGAAGTGCCCGTACTGTAATCCTGCCCACTGATTGGCCCGCGATTAGGGTCTTCTATCACGGTCTTCTATCAACCCAGAATGCCTTGCCGGTAGCAACCCGCGTAAACACGAATTCGAGTAATCGATATGAAACTTTTTGAATTTAGAAACAATCCAGACTTGCACACTATTGACTCTATGAATCTAGAGATTCTAGATTGGCTATATTTGACAATTATGCTACATTGTACGATTGACTTTATGAATTTAGAGATATTCTATCTTGATATATGTATGCAGAATAATTCTATATATAATGGCGAGCAAAAGTATTGGTACATGATCAGGTTTCACAGGACACGATCATTTATTGTGACACTCTTACAAAATACTCTTTATATTTTATTCCTTACAAAATGTGAGAAGAGTCGAAACGATTGACTTTGATTCTTAAAAACAATTACGTAGAACCTTCCATCTAAAGAACTATGGAATTGATTCGTCTGTTACAGGGGTACGGTTCTTGTATTGATTCTCATGTCGCTTCTAAGTTACCTTTCTTGGCTGTCGTTTTTATCCAATGTTTCACATGATTTCCAAATGATCCACGAACTAAGGAAAATTGTTTTTCTTCAAAGGTACTTGAAATTCTGAGAATTTCTGAAATTAACGAAAATCTACGTCAATCGATCCTTTTTCTTCTTAATTACTTTGCGAACTAAAATCTCTCTTTTTATATCATTAAATTAAATTCGAATAAAAATTTCATGACTCAGTTTTAGAATATGGTTGAAATAGGTTATTTTGAACTTTTCAGATATATGCATGTAAATACTCGATGGAGACATGCACGACATGCAAAAATGTTATTACATATCCTCACGAAACAAATTACAGACAATTTGTGGGTCAATATCGGTGAAATGCCGCTGAGCATGTTTCCTAACTGAATTAAATCTGTCCTTGCTTATTTATTTTTTCATTGTATATTGGGAAGACTCTGGTCCGTCAACATAAAATGTCTAAACAAGCATAATAATTTTACGTGAAAAAAAGCTACTTAATTTCTTACCCTCAATAAAAAACTATTATGTTAACATAAAAATCCATCGTGCGCTTTTAATTTCAAACGGAATAATTACTATTTAAACCGAATAATTGAGTTCATTGTAAGATGGCGCTTACAATGGTCGAGGAAAAGTAAATCATTACTTTCCGTGCAAGATGGCGCTACTGTGAAGTTAACTAACATAACCATAGTTTTTGTGCACGTACACGCCACTTGAATAGGATATCTCTCTACAAGTGGCTTGATGCGCATGTACGTGTGCAATCAGCTGACTGTGACAGCAACGACGTACCTAGAGCTTGGACATTTTTTAAAAAATTTCTAATTTTCTCAAACAAACTGTATTTCAATGGATATTTAGAAGAATTACCACTGGAAGATGTTCCCTACGAATATACACGAAGCTTTTGATAAATTTTGTAAACCTGCTTTCTCTTGTGTTTAAAATCAGTTTGGATGCTAGTAGCAATAATATTGGTACATGTATGTTGATCGAAGCTACGCATGTGCAGTAAGTTTCCGATAATCTTGGAGGATCCTTTATTAAAGAAGCTCTCGCTCGGTGAATCACTAGTGTAGTTCCCGGCAATAGTATTGCGCAGAAAGTTCAAAGGAAACTTGGAGCATCAATTTCTAAACGTCGTATGTAAGAAAAATTTTGAAGTTTCTTACTTCAAACGGGAACCTGCTTAAAAATGTTTCGCACCGTTCTGTGCCTTTGCGCTATCGCGGCGCTGACTAATGCCGATATCGTGAGGTAAGTGTAGCAATTTTTTTCGTAAACAAATAACATGACTTTCCACAATTGATTCAACTATTATACATATCGTTTACTCATACTGAGAAAAATTTGTAAATATTCTACGATACTTTAAACTTACAAATATTTTATGCGTAGATATTCAATTTATGTTGAACATTAAATTTGTAATTACTTTACGACATTGTAATGACTATTCCAAAAAAAAATTTGATTTAATGACACACGTTATATGTAGCGCCAACGACATTGAGAAATTTATTAGTTTTATACGATTTATAGCATGTTTCCTTTGTTCTTTAGAATTCTAACTTCCTTCATTTTGTTTCTCATGTTTTTGGATATTTAAAATTTCCATTAAGAATTATCTTAGATTCGTTATGCTTTAATAACAAAATGTCGAAATAAAACTTTCAGAATAAAAAAAAAAGGAGAAAAAATTATTTTTCAAAAAATTACTATTCACTTTTTAAAAAGATCTTGCTGGGATTACAAAAGATCAGTTTCACTATAGATATAATTGGGAACTGTTAACGTTAATTTCAAAAATATTCTCTTCTTTGAAGAATTCGTTTGCACAAGATGGACAGTGTTAGGAAACAACTCAAAGAATATAATACTGAAATGTACCAAGCTCATATGGTGCAAGGAGATTTTCCTCAACCAGAGCCTCTTTCCAATTATCTAGACGCTCAATATTATGGCGAAATTAGTATTGGAACTCCGGCGCAAAACTTCAAAGTAATCTTTGATACTGGTTCTTCAAACTTGTGGATTCCATCTAAGAAATGCCACCTTACCAACATTGCTTGCAGTGAGTACACACAAGCAACTCCGGAAAAGCTTTGTTAGTCTCTATGTTCAAAATTTGGTATTTTAGAAAAGCTTTGTTACTCTATGTTCAAAACTTTTTTTTTTTGCCTTATATTTTATTCATAATTTATTCGTATAATTGAGGTGACCCTTGCTACACGATTTATCACTCAAAAGACGTCGTACGTAATGCATAAAACTGAAATTTTAACTTGTAAATCTGAAAACTGTGAAATAAAAACTAAATTATTTTTGCATTTTTACTTCTAACAGATTTTAGATGTGTAAAAAAGTAGATATGATAATATTGCAGTATGATTCAGTACTTGAATTAAGTGCAGCTTTATCTCTGAGATAATGATAATACTACATTTCAAGTATTTATAAACTAATGATGAAATTAAAAACAACTCTGTAAGATTGAGATCATATTATTTCTTCGATTAATTACTGCTATCATTATTGTTAGCATTATTGTAACTTTATCTTTAGCACTATTATATTTTTAGGCAGTGATAAAGTGTTTTATAAATCAATAATAAAATTCTAAACTTCTATTAATCCTCTGCCTATTTTGCCGGTAGTCATAATTTTGACCTGTGCTGGAAGCTGCTTGTGTTAGTTATAGGAGCTGCTTGTATTAGTTATAGGAGCTGCTTGTTTTAGTGATCGCACTAACGCACTAACATCGTGTAATTGTATTGTTTGCCATGTGTTTGCCAAATTGCCGAAGTGACGACGACTAAAGACGAAAAAAATCAGTTTCTGGTAATGTTCTGAAGAAGAAAGACGTTTGCAGCAAATTTAAGCAATTTTTTATTTCAAAGTTTATTTCATATTTTAGTGTTTTTATTATTGTTTTAGTATTTTAGTATTTAATATTGTGTATTATTTTTGTATTTATTTTTGTATTTAGATTTTAGTTTTTAGCACTATTTTAATATTTTACTATTTTTATTATTAAGTTACTGTTTTTATTATTATTTTTGTTCTTTTTATTACTTTTTTACGTTGTTTCTATTGACGCAATGTCTTCATTGCCAACGAGCAATTTTTCTTTGTCTTCTTTCGTTCAATTTGCACAAGACGTTCCTGACAATAAATGACATAAATATACAGTAAATATATATAACTTTATTCATGTGACTGTTATTTGTTCCTTATACTCCTACATGTTCCTATATGAGTTGGGTGTCTGTCACTGTGTTGTTACAATATCGGTAAGGACCTCGGTTTCGAGCACCGTCACATTATGTACAGTATCGGTGAGCCGTCCGGACGACCCTAAATATGTATTAGTGGGATATCTGTGCGAGTCAAAATGACCCAGCACTGGAGCTTTAGTTTCAGTAGTCGGAGGATCAAGATCATTTTGCCCTTTCAAAATTTAATATAATACGTATTCTTTCCAGAACTGCACCATAAATATGATAGCACAAAATCGTCCACGTACAAAAAGAATGGTACCGATTTCGCTATCCATTATGGCTCTGGCAGTCTTTCTGGTTATCTCTCGACTGATGTTGTGGAAGTAAGTTTACATGCAAATATAAATCGAGTATATTTCTTCCTTATATCTACTGATTTTACTTCCCACAGTTTTCCATCCATTATTTGTAAATAACTGTAAAAGAGATATATACTGTCATCAAATTTGTTTTTCATTTTGTATATTGTCACAAATTTCTTTATAAATATTCTCATCCATCACTTATCGCCGTGTAATTAAATTAGTCGAATTGAAAGAGAAAACTAATTGAAGAATAACTGTACTTATTATTTCTCAGATTGCTGGACTCAAAGTCCAGGACCAGACCTTTGCCGAAGCTATGAGCGAACCCGGATTGGCTTTCGTTGCTGCTAAATTCGACGGCATCTTAGGTATGGGTTATTCTAGAATCGCTATCGATGGCGTAACACCTGTTTTCTACAACATGTTCAAACAAAGATTGGTACCTCAACCCGTTTTCAGTTTCTACTTGAACAGGTATCACAAAATAATTAGCGAATTACTCGAAGTAATTTTTGAATTATTCAAAGTATTGTACAAAGAAAATCGAAAAGCTAAAACTTCTACTTATTTATTAATTCCAGAAATCCTGATGATAAGTTTGGTGGAGAATTAATCCTTGGCGGTTCAGATCCACAGCACTATCAAGGTTCGTTCACCTATGTCCCAGTCGACAAAAAAGGATACTGGCAATTCAGAATGGATGGGTATTTTAAATTTACAAAAATAAATTTTACAATCCTAAAGAACAACTTAAGTCAGGACAAAATACGAATTTCAGAATCAAAGTAGGATCCCAAAATTTGGCAGTCTGCAAGCAAGGATGCGAAGCTATTGCTGATACAGGCACTTCACTCATTGCTGGGCCAGTCAAAGAAGTTGAAGCCATCAACAAGGCTATTGGAGCTACTCCCATCGCAGCTGGAGAAGCAATGGTAGATTGTAACTCCATTCATAACTTGCCTACGATCAACTTTGTGCTTGGTGGCCAGTCTTTCCCTTTGACTGGTGAGGACTACGTTCTGAAGGTAAGATAGACATTTTTCGATGGTATCTATCAAGTATTACAAGAGAATTTCATTATAAAAGAAGATTTCAACAACATAATAATGCTATTGCTCTTTCTGTCAAAGGTTACGCAATTCGGCAAGACCGTCTGTCTCAGCGGATTCATGGGATTGGACGTTCCTCCACCAAACGGGCCACTATGGATCTTGGGAGACGTTTTCATCGGCCGTTATTATACCGAGTTCGATATGGGAAACAACCGTGTCGGTTTTGCCAAGTCAAAATAAGAGAAAGTTGAAGAAATAAGTCAGCGGTTTTTAAATTATGCATTCCTTCTTGGAATGTCTATTTTCGTGTATATTACGTTCATACGTCTTCTGTAATATTTCCAGTAATTTCTCTGCTTTTCATATGTACTGTACGTACAGTATCCGTACGAGACAAAAAGTAAATGTAACAATAAGTATGAATAATATGTAAAATATGTAAAATAATTTCCTATAACAAAATGTATAATACATTACGAAGACGAAAGTAATAAATTTTTTTCATGTTATTCCCTAGCATTTTTCTTCCATAACGAATAATAAATCAACTATTAAACATAATTCTGAAAATCTGATCATTAAATTAGAAATATTGTAAATTACGATTCATGTATATCACAGTTTCACACAACGTTTTTTACAAAATAAGTTGTAATGGTAAATCAGAGAACCTAAAACATTAATTTATAAAAGGGTTGAACGTTTTCTCTTTACCGCGTGAAGCGCGTAATTTATCGCTGTTGAAGTTGTCCAAAACCACTCGTTCCTTAAAGGATTGTAAAACATTCCATGAATTAATTTTGTTTTGCAACCATCTACAAAATAGACAAAGTTTTAGTTAATAAATGTTTTACATAAAATTATCAGTATTATTATTAACGACGGTATACATGTTTCTAATAAGGATTGCATTTCAGCCGGAGTGATGAATTTATTCCAATCATGAGTGCCCTTTGGAATCAATTTCAAAACATTTTCAGCTGCGATTATGCCTCCAAGCCATGAAGACAATGTTTTATTAATAGTTGTAAGAAATATCGAACCACCAGGTTTCACGGTACTTATACAATACTATGAAAAACATAAAGGCACAGTTATATAAATATGTATAACTTTGCTCATATTAATGTCATATTAACATTCTCTTTCTTCACAGGAAAAAAAGCTATACCTTTAAAAATAATTCTTTATCATTTACATGTTCTATAACTTCTGAAGCTAGTATGGCATTAAACGTTTCTTTATTATCTGGTGCAAAATCTTCAATGACCGTCTCAATATAGTTCAATTTTCCATCTAAACTGGGATCCAAGGCAGCATGCTCTTTTGCAGCTGTTATTAATTCTGAAGACGCATCAATTCCAGTCACATCTGCTCCAATTCTAGCTAAAGGTTCCGACAATATCCCTCCACCACAGCCAACGTCCAAGATTTTGATCCCTTTCAGTGGTAAATAAGGACATTCCACTTTGAATCCCACATTTGCTAGACCATCACGAACAAATTGCACTCTTAGAGAGTTTAATGCATGCAAAGCGCGTAATTCACCATTGACATTCCACCATTTGTTACTTAATCTGGAATGATGCTCCACCGTTATAGGATCAACTGTCGGCTTTTTTTGTGGATCACATTGTGTTATTTCTTGAATCTGTTCAGATAACCTAGAACCATGAATGAACTTTCGGTAATGTTTGCCCTATCTAGCATTAAAATGTCAAGCATTTAGGTTAATTACCGGTTACGAAGAGTAAATCCTGTGGATATGGGTCGTAGAGATAAACTTTTAATTGTCCTCATGATTTATTCGCATGAGATGATTGAACACAACGAAAAAAATTTTGGAAGCGTGTAGCTATTACGAGGATATGTGTGAAACAAATAAAACCCCGCATATCGACCGCACTAACACACCTCCTCAATCATTAATACTCGACGAAAACAAGTAGCTATATCTTTATTTATTTTTAGAAAACAATATACACGTAAAATTAATGTATATCATTACGTTAGAAAATAGTAGCAATAATAACTATACTTTAACTTATTTCTAAAAAAAATATCTGGAGGAGCTACAAGAATGTTTTATTTCAGGAATGAACAGAAATGTAAAATGTTGAATATTAATGAACAAAAATATAAAATGTTACATTAGAATAATTAAGGATAATTTTTACTTTATTGTTTTATTTTTTTTACCATATACATACATAGGGTACATAGAACCCTCACCATAGAAAACTTTTATATGTTTCTCACGTATTGTATAAAATAATTTGAAATTTTATTATCTTTGAAATAAAACACGATAATTGTAACATATATGAACAACTAAAGATAATTTCATAACATTTATAACTAAAGACAAAATCTCATAAACACTTCAACTTCAGATGTATAGATACAGATATTGATTTTTTTCAAGTAAAAAATTTTATTTATATTTAATTAATTAATTGATTGATTGATTAATTAAAACAATGTACTAGTAATTAAAAAGTGCCACTAAATTTAAACAAACAGATCGAACATGTCGATTACATATCTTATCAAACCATTATTTTAAAATTATTATCTTATCATCATATTCAATACTCTTTAAGTTTTAATTTAGATATAAGATTTAATATTTATAATTGAAATGTTGCACATAATTTATTTGCCTTAAGGTCAATAACTTTGCACACAATCACAGATATTTATTCTGTAATCAAGGCACTTGAAAAAGAAAATAGATAATGACAGAAGACAGAAATAAGACAATTAAAAGAATAATCGATCCATATATATCAAATTATTGATCAAATAAAAATTTTCATAAATACTTTATTACATGATATGTAAAATATTTCATGGAAATATAAAAAAGATGCAATATACAAAATAAAATATCATGCAATGTCGTTTTAATATCATTTCTTGTCGTAACAAATTCGTGATGCGAAAAAAAGTTGCGAAATATGTTATAAAGTACATACAAGATTTTTCCAGTAAAACCCATCACAATTGTCCGTTAAATTTATTGTATTTTTATCTTCGACAAGATTAAATAATTTTTTAAATACCGAGTACCGAGATACAGTACTTTTATCTGCAATAACAATTAATTTGTGTTTTGCTCTTGTTATTGCAACAGTCAATCGTCGATGGTCCCCTAGTACTTCGAGATCCTACATTTGAAAAATACTAATTATATCGGTACTTTTTAACTTACAACAAACACTTGTAAAACTCAGATGATACCTCTTTTATATCGTCAGGTTTATTCAGGCTTTTTGCGCACGAATAAATTATAATTTCTTTATCACGTCCTTGATACTGATCGACAGTATTTATCTCTATATCTTGAGTAACAATTTTCTTCAATAAGTTAACATGTGCTCTGTACGGTGCGATGACGCCAATATTATCAAGTCTCACATTCATCTAAATGTTTGAACACTTATTCCAATATTTGATACGAAAATAGCTTACATACAACAAAATTACATATTATATATCACCTTTAAAAGAGTTTTCACTAGTTTAGATACTACAGCAGCTTCCCAAATGTTTGAGTTTACTTCATCAATATCTAGATATTTTCCACTCAAATCATAATTTTCTTTCAACTTATTAGTATGACCTGTGTTTAGTACGATTACAGAATCATTTATGTCAGATGACAATGCCTTCTGTATCCATTCTGCTTCTTTTATTAAAACCTAAAATAGAATTTTATTAGTTTATTAATGCAATCTTCGTTTATACTTATTACACTCACTTCATGACACTGACTGACGAAAGTAGCATTTTCTACGGAGACATCGCCTGCTTTTAACATGTCATTATATGTTAACTTATTTGCTATACGCATTATACTTTTATTCATTCTGTACTGTTTCGTTAATTTAATAGTATTATTTTCACTATCCAGACGAGCAAATAAAGATTCATCTGCACCCAGTTTTCTGAGAAGACAAGAAAATTATGAATAATTGTATGATAAAATGTATTACTGTGTAATAAAATTTTATAATGTGCATAAAAATATTCTTTTGTTTAAAAATCAGGACTACAACAACAGAAATTTATTTCATCTATTATATATTGTAATGAGAACTGTACTTTATTTATATACTTATATATCTTTACGTATGATGTGCAAATATTTTATTGGATACCTGGCTAATCTGTTCTTAACAATTGGAGGCAATTGATCAGGATCTCCCACAAGAATAAACTTCTTCGCATTATATAACGGACGTAATACAGTGGGTTGCCATACCTGAGTACTTTCGTCCACGATACATACATCAAATGTACGTTTCCCAAAAAGTACGTGATGGGCACCATAACAAGTTGTGCCAATAATATTCTACGGTATTACAAATTACATAATTAAATAAAATTAATTGCAAAAAAATTACCATCTTGAATCTCTTTTAGTGCTAAGAGGAAAAATTCTTTTGCAAATGAAGTTATTTAGAAAAAAACAAATTAGGTAAGATTTTTTCATATTTCCATAAACATTTCCGAAAGTATCCAAAATAATAAAATATTTATACTTAAAGTAATTCATACTTTGCCAGAATACACCGCTTCTAAGCTACTCGGAGAGTGGCAATTTGATGTGGCATATATTTCGCTTTTACATCTTAAAGATGGATGGAAAGATGATCCCAATCTTAAGAAATCAATGCGCTTGTCCAACAGTTTCAATAAAATATTGTCTACAGCACTGTTTGTATGTGCGGTAATTAATACGGATCGTCCTATTTTGTGTAAAACTTCTACTAGAGCAACTACTGTTTGCGTTTTCCCTGTACCTGGCATTCCTTTAATCAGAAAGTACTCGTTTGCTGATATCGCTTTTAGAACTGCTCTTTGCTGAATTTTATTTAAATTTTGTATTATCTTAGCACTTTTTGTTATAACCGCATGTGATACACCCTCTTCGAAAGTTGCTTGTTTTCTGAGGTAAAGAAAAATTCAATAAAAAGAATATATATATATATATATATATACATATATATAAAGATTATTTAAGGAAATATTTAATAAATTTTACAAACCTATCTATCACGATATTTCGTAATCTTTCACAAATTTCACTGTCGTTCATCAAACCTCCTACATTCGCAAGATTAATAGAATATAAAGAAGACGAATGGTACTTATCTATGTGAAATAATTCATTTGTATTATACTTGGTCACATCTCTGGAACCAAATGGAAGATTATAGTTCAACGTAAGATTTAACATAAAAACTTTCTTAAGTACCTCTCAAGTACCTTTCTAAAATCAATGTGATAGAATCTTCTTTTCTTTCTATTATAAATCCCGCAGAAATATTTATCCTGGTGTTTGTACTAACTAAAACATACTCATTATCTGAAAATTCCGTATATGGAATATTAGTACTTGAGAATTGTCCATTTAAATTTGCGCGAATGAAAGTGTGTTTATACTTTGTGTTGTAACTAATAACGTGTCCTATCACTTTCAAATTACAGATACAAGTTTTCTTTATTTCTCTAAAAAAAAATTTAAAAGAACAATTTATTTAATTAAAAAATACGGTATTTTATAAAATTTATCATATGACTCTTTACCTCTTTTCTGGGCTTAATGTCCACAGATGTTTCATTGTATTATCACTTGACTGTGAGCTTTCTTCAATCTCTAATAAAGAAATCCACTGCAATACATAATCAATATGACTAGGTTTGAATTTATCCAAAATTTTTTTTCCAAGCTCTACTAATGGATGTGTTTCAGGTAACTGTATGTTAGAATCTTTGCTCAAGTATATACAGCATAATGTATTGTAAACACATTTTGAACAAGCACTGTGATGATTAATTGGCTCTGGCAGTTCTAACATTTGCCAACCTGATTCAGACGTTAGATTGGATAACTTCTCAGGTGATTTTTGAATAAAGTAAGTAGCTAAAGAGTTTCTTAATAGCATCAAATCTCTTTTCTCAGGATGGCTACTATTAATCTCTTGCATATCATTTTCCCTGTAATAAAATGTATTTGCACCAATTATTGAATTAAACTTCAAAATTAATGAGTTACCTAAGATATAGTAAAAGACCCGTATCTGTATCTTGACCTGTAAGACTCATCATCATGATATAAAGAATAATTTGTCCTTTATGTTCTAAAGAAAATGAAGGTTTTCCTGTCTTGATTTCAATGGGCATAATTTTCCGTTTAGAATTTATCTTGACTTCTGCAGTAATGTCTACCTTCCCTTTTATGCCTAATTTCGGTTGCCAAATAGATTCTTCTATATCATGAATGTGAGTGATTCTACCTCTAAAGTTATTTTTCATATTATTTATTTTTTGCTGTGTTTTATCTGAAAATATTATTAACAGAATGTAACAGGTTATTAACAGAAAATAACAAGATCCATATTACATATTTTGCGTACCATTCAAATAATGTTGTATAAATTCGTGTATCTTTGATACATATGGGAGCATTTGTTGCTTACAAGTATCTAAAGATATATCTGATGCATAAAGTAAACTACTTGTGTCTTTGGTCTGCAATATGTTGTCCATTAACTTTGTAATACCTTTTATTTCGTAAATATTTTTTTGTATTGCCTGTAATGTTAAATCTGCATTTGCAAAATGTTAAAGAACTACAGAAAAAAATGTTAAAATATTCTTACAGTTTGCAATAGTTCATGAACTAAGATTCCAATAACAAGTGGTGTTTGATCTCCCTCAAAATAAGGCAGATTTTCCATCTTTCTGAACCTCTCAGTTAAAACTGCCTTCCGTTCACAAAATAGAGCACCAGCTATTGTTGTTCCAGATATTAATATGTCTGGATTAACAATAAGAAAACCACTACTATTATCTATAATCCACTGATTGTTTTCTTTCCGTGCTTCAATGACAACAATATCATCTTTTTGCACTTTGGTGTTTTTCCTAAGTTTTAATTAGAAATATTATATTAAATGTTTCATTTTAAGCACATTATCATGATTGTATTCCTTACCAGAAATCTGAACACCTAACAGTTGCATTACATGTTTCATTGTCTTCTTGTTTTACTGTTAATATTATACTATTGCATTCCATTTGTACATCAATAACTTTACACCTTTGTAAGGATTTAAAGTTAATTTGACTGGAATCTGTACACCATTCTTCCTCAAAACAACCTTTAAAATCATTTGCAAAGAATGATTCTAATTCTGAATGAATTCCATCATGTTTTACATTAGTGGACACAGATTTCTTCAAATTAACAAGCTTGTCACTTTTATTTGCTTGTAATGTGTTACTTGTCATTATCTGCTTTTCATTCAATTTACATATTGTACTTATATATTCATAATCATTAGTTATATTTTCTTTTTGACTGTTATTTCTACTAAAATTACTGAACACATCATGAATTACATTCGCTTCATTTGAACGCGAATGTATTTGATGTGTATCTTGCATAATATTACATACATTTGAAACATTATCATACTTTGTAAGTTTCACTTGTAACAAGTCTACATCTTCTGAAATTTTCCTCTTTCTTTGCATTCCATTGTTTGTGACACTGGTTTCCACTGTGCTATTTTCTGAAGGAACTTTCATGAAATACGTTGATATCTTTTTTTGAGATGGCTTTGTACTATTAGTTGCATTATTCTGTGAAAAAGAAAGAGATCATAATAATAGATGTTCATGAATTTTACATTTTCAATTGTAAAAGAAAATTGTTGAATAATAATTGCACATTGGATACTTTAAAAATATACATTGAATATTATAAAAATACATATTGAATACATATAAAAATATTTAAAGTGTAGTATTCTTTTTAACTCTCCAGTATATCTGTAATGTTCATAAAAAAATCCATGAAAAAATCACCTGGAGAATAAATAAAATAAGTTTTTAACTAAGTCTCATTTATTACAATTATAATTATATTCATGAAAATATTTTTTTTTTTTTATTTATTAGATATTACTAGACTAAATACTACCTTTTTAAGCGGGAACCCGACTTTCTTCATTGTGAATGTCACCTTCAATCTTTTGTTTCAACGTTCTTTATTCAAAAGGCAAAGACGAGAAGGGTTCATAAAATTGCAAGAGAAAGAAAAATGAAACGTATTTGAGAATCTATCTACATAGGGAATTTAAAAAAATATTTCATATTTGAAATATAAACATAACATAAAGATTAAAAATTATTCTAATTCCATTGATATTTGAATCCATTGAAAATAAGCGTGTTAATACGTATATGAGTCCATTGAAAAATACATGTGTTATATACGTATATGAGTACAACACATAATCACAGTACCCTGACACAGGTGAAATCTTATTTATATTTCCAACGATAATTTGAATGATTAATCCTATGATAATTGTATTCGGTACTTAAAATAATGTAATTTAAATATCTCAATAAGTAACTTATAATGAATTGGGAGAGCTAAATAAATGAGCATGTTATCGAAATCTAGGGAAATATAAGTTGGCTCCTAATCCTAAAATGCCATAAAATAAAGATAAACTCCTAACATGCACATAAATTTCTTCAGAGTAATGCAATTTAGTTCAAATATATAATTTACAATTTATAAACGATTACCCGCCAACAACAAGATAGTTGACATCACATGATTAGTTCAAATTAAATCATTAAGCATCCACCTTGTGGATCACCCCTAGGATAGGTGCCAGAACTAAAGCATATTGTCCTTATCGCACGCTGTTGCCCTCTTTGTCTACTGAGCGAATAAGTCTGTCCTTGTCACACACTATCGCCCTCCTTGTCTATCGCTATGTATGTCTGTCCTTGTCGTACGCTAGTGCACTCCTTGTCTAATGACGCTAGACAAGGAAAGCAATAGTGTGCGGCAAGGACATCCTTCGATCTATTGAAAAAAAAATTCAACTTTTTACACACACGTTTTTCTAGGACAAAACACACATAGAATGAAAGCGGGGAGCATAATTTTAAGGAGGCATATAAAAAAGTTCGCAAATTATTCCACTTAATTAGGTTTTTTTCATAATTAGTGCAAACTGTCACAAAATGAACATGGTGGCGCCATCTAGCGGTAACTCGGTAGTACTAATTATTTATAAAAATACTTATTTCTGCATTTTACGGGTCAAATGGGGTATGAAAAGAAAGCTAAGGGTCTAATTAGGGTAATACAATCGCCAAAGTTCACAATTCGTTACGCTAAATTAGGTTTTTTCGCAAATGAAAATTTCTCTGTTTTACGGGGTAAGAAACACTAGCGCCGCGTTGTGGCAGACCGGTGGAACTAAACGCTCTATAACCATATAAGAAGAATAATTGATTTTAACTTTTGATGCCACAAATTTGCACTCTACGAGCATGTATTTCAAAGATAATGCTATCAATTACGTTCGCAAATAAATTTGAATCTAATATTCACTATAGTTTGCGAGAAATTATGCACTCACTACTGGCACTGCTCCTAACGTAACCGGAATTGAAACATTCTTTATGTACGTAAACTATACTCAAACAAAACATAAAACGCAAGCGTAGGGTCTCTAAAATCGAAGACGCAACCATAACAGTTCACAAATGATTCCTCTTCATTAATATCTTCTCGTAATTTGTGGAAAAACTGTCACCTGTCAATGTTTAGAGGTAGTGGTGGCGCCATCCATTGATAACTCGGTGGTACTAAAAACAAAATTTTCCACTTTTAGTGCCACCGAGTTATCAATAGATGGCGCCACCACTACCTCTAAACATTGACAGGTGACAGTTTTTCCACAAATTACGAGAAGATATTATTGAAGAGGAATCATTTGTGAACTGTTATGGTTGCGTCTTCGATTTTAGAGACCCTAAGCTTGCGTTTTATGTTTTGTTTGAGTATAGTTTACGTACATAAAGAATGTTTCAATTCCGGTTACGTTAGGAGCAGTGCCAGTAGTGAGTGCATAATTTCTCGCAAACTATAGTGAATATTAGATTCAAATTTATTTGCGAACGTAATTGATAGCATTATCTTTGAAATACATGCTCGTAGAGTGCAAATTTGTGGCATCAAAAGTTAAAATCAATTATTCTTCTTATATGGTTATAGAGCGTTTAGTTCCACCGGTCTGCCACAACGCGGCGCTAGTGTTTCTTACCCCGTAA